TTTCTCCACATTTCCGGTATGAGATTAGATGAGAAGGATCCGTTAAAGATAGTCGTGAATGGATAACATAGGGGGTTAGCTCATTTCTTAAAAAGGATGTTTGGGATACCATCAAGTCCCGAACATCGAGATGAATTAAGTGACTGGAGACATCAGTTTCAGTGAAACTAGTAACACAGCTATTTTTTAAACCTGTGGGTAAAGGGAGCATCACATCAGATGTCTTACGTACAAAAGACTTATTTAAGTCACAAACATTCAGTTGATTATCGCTTCTAAACCGTCTGTCACCTGTAAGTTCTTTAAAGAGTTTCCACATACTTGGAGGGTTTTTGCAAGACAAGAGTTTTTGAGTAAACATACAGTTGAGATGTCTAATCTCTAGATTTATCAGAACATTGAGCTTACGAAATTCATAAGAGTTCTTCTCTTTGTACATTCTTTCTTTCATCCTCCGTAGTCGTTTTAGTTGTGAAGATGGAAGTCGATCAAAACTTACAAAAATGGTTTCAGTGGGACAACAAATATCAAAAAAGAATTTAAGGTGACAACATCAGTAGTGTTTTCCAGTGAGTCATCTGTAAATAATTCCTATTTAGTCATATGAAACATGTTTTTCAGATTTCGGAAATTTTCTTCTGAGTAGTCCCTATATTTGACTTTCTTGGTTTGACGTAAGAGTGTACTCATCCCATGCATTCCATATACTTTAGGTAGAACACGAATTATACAGTGATCCGAGGTAGACAATGGAGCACGTTTACGAGTCACATATATTCACACATCATAAATGAAAACGAAGTCTAAATGAACATCTAAACGAGTAGGAAAATCTACTACATTTTGGTGACCTAGTGAAGTAAGGAAGATACAGTCACATGAATTGAAATCACCACATACAACTAAAATTGAATTACTGAAGGCAGTAACAGCGAACTCAGTGAATTCATCAGCGGAAACAGATAACGCACATGACGTGCAGTCTGGAGTCACGTAGATATTGGTAATATAAATATATTTGTATTTATTCAGATATTTTGGAATAAGTAAGACTGTTTATGGGAACAGAAAATGCATATAGAGAGAGTAAATTGTTTAGAAAACTAATAACTATGTCTTTTATTGTGTGATTTGTTTTCTCATCCGATGCCTTTCACACAGTCTTAATGTAAAAGTCTGAGTTATCATGTTATAGTTTGTCTTGGTAGAATAGCTAATCCAGCATAGAATTGAAAACATGAGTCTGAGTGGTGAGCGCAGTAGAACAACCTCAATATCACAGATCCCTGTTATATATTGATTGCTAGTAATTTTTGCTCAAATCCTTGAGGATAGATACGTGATTCCGCTTTGTTGGCAGCACTTTTTTGTTCATTGAGTACTTTGTAGAAACATGGTCTACTTCGATATTGATATATTTATATTTGCTATTATACTACTAGGACCAATCACAAAATTGTAGATTTGCCTTTATATGACCACATATTCTGCAAGATCTTACGTGGAAGTCACATCATAGTCTACACTGACTCATTATGTAGTGACAATCAGTAATATGACGACTAGCACTTCTGAAGAACACATTTAGGCTAAGAGAGTAATATATTTGATACTAAAAGCAAGAGGTTGCAAGAGGTTACCACGCATGCGTGTTTGAGCGATGTCATCTCTATCCTTTACATCTGCGTTCACACTTACTGACTTTCCCTCCGTGTTAAATGTTGAACGTGAAGTCCCTCAATTATATGACGTTCAGCTTTGAGTATCATATGGTTAGAACCTATACCATTACAACTTATCGGTCTTTTATCGACTCTCTTTAGCCATATAGCGCGCTAATTTGTGCTAAAGTAACCTTCGACTACAGGGTACAGACTGTGATCCTAAGGTATTTTGCACTTTGGTTGTAAGTTCTCTGTATATTTTTGAGTGAAGCTTGTTTTCTTGTGTAGTCTAATATTAGTAACTCAGAAAGAGTACATAAGCTATGCAGAAAAACGTGGTTTGATATGATCAACCTAACTTTGATTTGTGCTATCGTCATCTGCGTTGGCACAGAACATTGGAATTTCGGTCTTTCCATGCACAGTACAGTTGGTATTGTTACTGTTATACACGGCACGCTTAGGGAAAGTCAGAGAAGAGTCTGAAAAAGTCTATCTTATTATTGCGCGATGTGTTTATAAAGTTGACTGCTTTGCAAATCGAGCACCAATGGATCGTCACAAATAAGCTCTCTTGTAGAATAATGTATATTTCAGAAAATGTCATTTCTTAGAAGCATACGACAAAAAATTACGATAGTAAGGTGAAAGAAGCATGTATGTAGTATGTTACCCTAAAACATCACAAAATAAACAATTTGGAGTCTTGACGTAAATATGGCATGGACGCTCTCACTTCAAACACAACAGTTCAATCCCTTTCAACCACATTTGTACCTAACTTCATTCCCTAATCGGACTTAAGCCTTAGTTTGTCCTATGTAACCGATTTTACTATTCAATTCGATTTTAGGATGACTCAGCGGTAAGTTTTAGAACGGTTGAATACTGGTACTGATATGTCTTCGCTACAAATCCCGTATCTTCGAGGGAATGTGTTCGTATGGCTGCCTATATGAAGAGGCAAAATTTTTTCTATAGTAGTTGCATTGATGGGTTTGACAGTAAACTTTAGTGTTATGTCACACTGGCCGAGATAGATCCTGTACTTTGTCAAGGTAATGCATTCATAATACTTGTAAAGCATGTACCCACGTGTTCGTCACTTAGATTGATTGGAATATTGAAGTTTTGTGTGGGAGACATACACGATATTATCAGGGGAAGATTAAAGTGAAGAACTAAAATTAACGTAACTGCCTCGTCAGTGTATTGGGTATTCTGGTAGGTGCTGCCAGGTATTCCAGGCTTTTACCTCTCAACCAGAGTCAGGAAGAAGCTAGGAACATTCATGCACACATTTTTGTAGGCCACATTTGAGTGTTCGAAGAGTGGAGTGAAAAAAGCAAAAGAATGTCAAATCAAGGATGACGTCAAATATTTGACTAGCTTCTGGGATAAATTTTTGGTGTGTAGATTCGATGTCAGTATTATAAAAAATTAGGATGAGTTTCCTCATCCATTTTTGTGTAAAAGTCAGCACTACGATGGAAGAGGATGATATCGAACCACGATGTTCTGATGTATTAAAGTTGGTACAAGGAAGCATTGACGAGTCAACAAGTAAATTTCCAGCAGACAGTAAATTGAGGTAGACCTGTTGTTCACGGACAGAATTTGATTATGAAACTCAGCAGCTAATGGCTGGATTCAGAAGGATTTATCTCAAACAAGAAGAAACACTAGCTGGATGGCTGCGATATATTTATGAGGCTTACTGTGTGTCAAAGATTAAACTTTCCAAAGAAGAAAAACTGATATTTTAAATTGTCGGAAGATGATAATTATTACAGTATATTTCCAATAAAACGGTAACATGCTGATTGTATGGACAATATACAGCAAGGTTTCCGAAAAGGGTTTACCGATACGATGCAAATGCGGCAGAGTTTTCATCTACATCTACTTCCGTACTGTTTCGTTACTATTTTCTGACCTTGTTGCTTTAACACGCCAGAAATGTCTTACTTTTTCACACAGAAATGAAGCACGCTTCCTGAAATAAAAATAAAGTGTCGTAACAAACCGTTTTCAAAACCTTTGTTATTGATATTTATATTGGGTTAAATATTACCCTTTGAACAAACTGTACTTGATTTTTCCGGAAGTAATAATTTATATTCACGTTTCAACAGAAAGTAGTAGTAAGTAGTAAGTAGTAATATATACTCACAAATAACAATATGTCAAGTGAAGCATATCAGTTTACAGGTGATACAGGCTTCACTGTAATTATATTTTAATATGAAAAGTAAGTAAGTAAGTAAGTAATGAAAAAAGACGATCAGATGATGCTGCATATGGCAAGCTTTTGAAAGAGTGTTCATCGGCTGCAAGCTCATCGGCTTTACATTTCTAGCCGATCACGTTTTAGGCTCATCACTACCCCATAATGAGGGTATATATATAAATTTCAAAAATTAATTTTCCTGTAGGTGTTCACCATTGATGCTAGCTTCATCAGTCTTACTGGACATACTCTGGCTAAAGACACTCGGTCGCTCATCCATGCCAGATCACGTCTTACATACCTTGCAACTACTAACCATATTAAATCAAACGCTCCTCAACGTACTTTCAACCTTCCAAGTTGGTGTTCAAAATGGTTGTTTCCTGACTTCTGATATGAGTGTTTGGCGCACTTCGATCATAAAGGTTTACGGATAAAGCGTTGTCAAAATCTGAATATCCGTATCATCCTCAAGTGTCAGATCATTTTTAGATTTAGTATGAAGTGGATAGTCCGAGGGGTTGTTAAGTTGTTTGATGATCCACACATCGATAACGTGCTGAATTACTTTTTCGAAGCAGCAAGTTTGTTGAATAAAATATAATCAGGGGTCAAACATAGTACAAACATTTATGTAGATGAACTCTTGAAACCCAGATCATCTGTACAAGATAGAGTGGTTCTTATATATAAGTCCAAGGTCTTTTATTATTGGAGCGGTTAAGTGAACAGATACAAGTAATTAAAATCTAAAAGGTAGTTCAGAACTGTCGATATGAAGTTGTTGGACATCGTACGTCGTACCTTAAACTTGGAGTTCCTCGTACATTTTTGCGTTCGTTAATGCGATAGTGCGCTACATTTCCGCTGGAGTTGTCGTTATTGTTTTTTGATAAATCACATTCAATGAGTTTCACATGCAATTATTGAAATGATTAACATCAACATTTTTACAACCTTTTCATGTTAACACACTTGGACGAGTATGAAAATCGATAAACAATTAGATCAACATCTAAAAGTTATCCTTCTAAACTAGCTACTGAACGATTCAATAACATAATTTTACGTTCTACACTTCCGGAATATTCTGCTTTGCAGTAGTAATGTCACAAGGATACTTTGTTGTCTCGGTGAGACTATTAGAAGACGAAAAAGTGGAGGAAATTAACGTGCCGGTAAGATTTGATTTTACTCATTTTTATATGTACATAACTTCGGATCTAAGTCTTTTTACTATGTGCACACTGGTTTGTTAAATTTCACACTGAGGACCACTTATATATAGTTTTAAATCCACATCCACTTGTTACAAAGCATATATAACTTTCAACAACTTTAGATATAACACTCGTTTATTCAAAATCTAACTGCTCACAGTTTGTTAGTAACTGGTATATAATTCAAGGATAAGTAGACATAGGTTTCAAAGTTTTGTTAACTTTGAAAAGTGACTTATATATGTCATATATATATATATATATATATATATATATATATATATATATATATATATATATATATATATATATATATATATATATATATATCTTCAGTAATAAAGATAGGAGGTCTGTCGACCTATGTTAATCCTTGCTGTTTGTAACACTGGAGATCCAATCTCATTTTGAATATATCAACAGAATGTGCTGATATTACGTGTTCTGGTAGAGAAATCCCTTAATTCACCACTCGATGCGAGAAACGAAACTCCAAACGTAGACGATTCGATTTCGGTTTTTGATCTTTTTTTCAGTGTCCTCTCAAATGATCAGTCCTAGGCGGAAAAGAAAAGTAAGACATTAATACCAAAGTCATCGTTCAGTATACGATCAGCCAATGTTAGATCGCCCCGTGTTCTATGGTAAGATAACGGAAATAACGTGTCTCATTTTATCTTCATAAGATAGGCCAGATATACCTTACCATCTTTGTCCCTCGTCGACGAATTCGCCCCAGCATATCCGCCTCATACTTGGAACAAGGACTCGCTGCTTAAATCCCATATTCTAAATGTGGGCGCACGAAAGTCGGGTATAATAATCTGAAAATGTCTTCATTCAAATACTGAAAAGACCTACGAATAGACCATAATGCCCTATAGCCTTTTGCTGCAGCAGCCTTACAGTGACTGGTAGCTTTGAGATCACTGCTTAGTACGACTCCTAAATCCTAATAGTTTCTTACTTTGGTTAACACGAATCCACATATTGTGTAGTGATACGAATAACCATAGTTATTTAATTGTATCACCACACTCTTGTTAGGACTTACTTCTAGTGACCACCTGTTCATCCATGCCACCAATGAGCTGAGATCATCCTGTAATACTTTTCTATCTGACATGCTGTGTACGGGTCTCGAAACATTTATGTCATCGGCGAAGAGTAGAACGGATGATTTCGCTACAGTTGGTAATCCATTTACATAAAGTAAAAGAGAAGAAGACCGAGGATTTTGTCTTGGGAAACTTCACTTTCTACAGGTTCTCATGATGAGAAAGCTCCATTTACCCGTACCCTTTGCCTCCTGCCATGGAGAAAGTCACTTATCCAGTCTATGACTGTAAAACGGATTCCAAAACCTTCCAGTTTTAATTTAGGACTAGAATAGGAGACCTCATCGAATGCCTTACCTAGATCTATGAAAATCACATCTACAGGAATATTTCGATCTTTTTCCACTGCTCAATCTTCTATTGCAATGTTTATTTATTTATTTGAACACATAAATATTGGTACAAGAGAGCGCCAATATATATGCGCCACACAAAACAATGAGAATTCGAAGAGAAAAAAAGGAGGGTAAGGAGCGTAAAAAAATAGAACAATAACGAAGAGATTGGTGTAAGATAGTGTAGTAATAATGAGGGAACGGAAAGGTACAATCAGAAGAAATCTTTCAAGTAAGGGAGACACAACCACTTTTTATGAAGAAAGTAAAAGAAGGTTACTGCAGGATCATCACTGGCTTCTATTCTGAGCCATATCTGATAACGTCTCTAGCCACTGTGTAGCACCATCTCTCGGACCCCAACCAGGGAGTTGTGAAGGACTAACAGAAGCCAGTCCTTTGTAGCTTTCTTTCATGCCACGACACCATGTCATGCACTGACCACCTCTCCGCTTCTTCCAACCAGTCCCAGAGTCGGCAAATAATGCACGACGTGGAATTCTCTGGGACGACATTCATAGAACATGTCCAAGCCACCGAAGTCGGTGTTTCAAGATGGTGACACCAATTGCATTATGGTCTCTGTGCCCGAACACACGATACCAAACCGCATTACTAACATGGTGTTGCCACTGGATGTCAGCAATTCTTCGGAGACAACTATGATCGAACACAGAGAGTCGTCTAACATCCTCAACTCGGAGAGGCCAGGTTTCACAAGCATAGAGCAAAACTGCTCTCACCGACGCGTTGTAGATCCGACCTTTTACAGTCAGACTAACATCACGAAGGTGCCAAAGGTGGCCCAGATTGGCATAAGCCGCTCTGGCTTTGCACTTCGAAGGTGCAAAGCACATACCATACCTACGGACACTGATTGCCAACTGATTAAGTGCGAATCGCATGCTTTGGGCATTATCGCACAGTATGACAATATCATCCGCATACTCAAGGTCGAGAAGTCTTTCTCCAGGCAACAGATCCACACCACCATTACTTACATTCATCAGAGCTGTTTCCAGAATATCACCGATGGCAAAGTTGAAGAGGAATGGTGAGATTGGGTAACCCTGTCTAACCCCATTGCTTGAATGGAACAGTGGAGAGAGGTGGTTGTATGCCCTCACTCTACCCGAGATGTTTGTATATAGGGCTTTTAGGATGTTAACAAACTTCTCAGGCACACCCTTCTTCAATAGACAAGCCCAGAAAACAGTCCTATCCAACGAATCGAAGGCAGCCCTGATGTCAATAAACAATACTATTGTTGGCCTTTGATAAGTATGGCGGTGTTCTAACATTTGGCGGAGGGTGAAGATATGATCAATACATCCTCGACCAGAACAAAACCCAACCTGCTCCTCGCGAGTCAATCTTTCTCAGGTTTTGAACAACCTACGAAGTATGACGGATGCCAATAGCTTGAACGCAATCGGAAGTAGACTTATCCTCACGCTCTGCTACCAATCGGGGGATAAGTCTATTGCAATGAGATTTGTCAAACATGATAAGCTTCTCCGAAAACCATGTTGTTCTCTGGATAAAAGATTGTGCCCTTCCACATAGTTTATAACAGCCATCTGAATAATTTTTTCCATTAGTTTTACAACTGTAGTAGTTAAGCCAATGCGTCGATAGTTACTAACTGAATCTCTACTCTTGGCCTTATACACCGGACTAATTATCGCGTTTCCAGTCTATGGGCAGTCTGGACTATCACAAAGACATATCAAACAATATCGCTAAAGGTCCAGTAATTACACCTGATAGGGATTTCATAATCCTAGGATAAATATCATCTGGATCACTGGACTTATCAGGTTTGAGATGCTGAAGTAGTCTCAAGACAGTACCTTTTTCAATAACTACAGGGTCCATCAACAAGCCACCACAATCACAATGAATCGTTGGTTGTTCCTGATTACTGATAGAAAACACTTTACTGAAATATTCCGATAAAGCTTCAGCTTTTTCGATATCATTTCTCGCCAATATTAATGGATTTTATTGTATCAAAAGTGATGGAATACCATCGCTTCTCTTAGTTCGCATTTTTATATACGAGAATAACCGTTTCGGACTATATTTACAATCCCTAACCAATTGTTTCCCATATGACCGTCTAGTCTTACTTACTAACGCTTTACAGGCATTCTTAATCATACAATAACTGGATCTGTACTGTTCTAAGCCAGTAGAGATGAACATATTCCAGTGCGTTTTCCCGCGTCTAAGAAGTTTCTTGACTTGTTTACTTATCCATGGTGAATTGTTATTCGGTCTACGTGGTACCAGGTATGAACGAAGACGTAACTGAACTAAACTTGTCTTTAAATATAGACCATGCTTCTACTGATGAGCTAGTATCTAGTGGCCAATGTCTTAGCAGCGCACTTCTGAATGGCTGATGTGTTTGCTCTCCATACATTTGGGTGAGACTTAACCTGATCGTATATCATGTCACTAGCTCTAAACGTGAATGACAAAACAGCGTGATCGTCATTCTCTAACGGTGGAATAATATTTAGGTTGGGAATATCCTCAGTCGCATGAATGATTACTAAGTCCAACAGAAAAGAACCTTGGTTTGCACCAAAACGTGTGGGTTTGGATATATACTATACTAATACATGCTCCCCCGACCGTAGCTGCTACCTTGACGTGGTGGTCGGGCTTGCCTATCGTGATGACCCATCCGAGCTATATTGGCTGGAACATATGTTCCTGTAGGTTCTACCATGCCAGGCAGGTCGATTGGTGAACGGTAAGACTAAAAGCAGCAACTCAAAGTCTGAGGGCGAAGTCGTACTGCTGACTGTACAGAGGTGTGACAGCAGTAAGGTGTTTCCTTCGGACAATCAGCATGACAGCGATGCTGCCTTCCCACAAGGAGGGGTGGGGTTAGAAAAGGTCGACCCTAAAAATGTCACACCTCACCTTACCTCACGGATTTCCGTCTCCGGCGGTAAGGCCATCTGAAGAACGGAGCTAACACGTCAAAAACCTTCTACAAAAAGGTCGTGCGCGACCGGCCTCAAGCAGTTGTCCCTTGGGCTCTGCGGTCACGCTCCCAGGTCGTTGAGACCAACACTAATCCAATTTCCTTTTCAGGTTCCTCAAGAAATACCTATCCACGGTGTGGGCAGCCGGGAAGTGACATCAGCCCTCATACCCGTAACAGCACGCGAGACCAAGTTGGTCACATTCAAATCCTTCCTACACCTAATACCTCTCTTATCTCCATGACTAACCCTCCTCACGTCTCTTTATCACCTCGCACCGCTAGGGCAAACGATTCGAGTACGTGGAACGCTATTCCTGGTCTCCTGAAACCACGCTCTAAACTACACGTAGGAGCTTTTAACGTACGAACACTGTGCCAAATAGGACAGCAGGCTTCCTTAGCTAGGACTTTAGACTCTTACGCCATCGATGTGTGTTGCGTCTCCGAAACGCGCATACAGGATCCAAGTAGCATCATTCATTTGACCTCACCATGCCAAAATAAAGAACCGACTCGATTTACGCTTCGTGTATCTGGAAGCCCTGATTCTGCTTCCCGTGGCCTCGCCGGCGTAGGTATAGCATTGAGTCCTAGGGCAGAACTAGCTCTCTTAGAGTGGATCCCAGTAGACAGTCGTTTGTGCGCTGTCCGACTGAACGGAACAGTAAGAATCCGGAAAGATAGGGACACTCGTCGTTGCCTCTTCGTCGTCTCTGCCTATTCTCCCACTGACTGCAGCTCAGATGATGTAAAAGATGAGTTTTACAGAAAGCTTTCGGACCTTCTCCGAAAAGCTAAGCGCTCGGACGTAGTAATAGTGGCCGGTGACTTTAATGCTCAAGTAGGTAAACTAAGCGATAGGGAAAGACACCTAGGTGGATCTTATGGTGTCGTGGCTCAAAGAACAGATAACGGCGACCGTCTGTTGCAGCTATGCTCAGATAACCGCCTGTTCCTTGCAAATACTAACTTTAAGCATAAGGAAAAACATCTTTTAACATGGCGACCCCCTAATTCGTCCCAACGTTGGACCCAAATAGATCACATCGCTATCAGCCACCGATGGAGGGGCTCGATAGAAGACTGTCGCTCATTCTGGAGCACATGCCTAGATTCAGATCATGCTCTAGTACGAGCGCGTATTTGCTTGCGTCTTACTGGACGTAGGAAAAACGCTGCAAGGAAACCTCTTAGGGGCCTACTTAATGATAGTCAAGCTAAGAGTATATTTCAGGAACAACTAGGAAAACAGTTAGGCAGCCATGTATGTGATGCCCACCCCGAGGCAGCATGGAATGATATCCGAAAAGCTGTGGAAACAGCAGTGATATCTGTTAGTAAGGTAAACCACAAGGTTAGGGAGCAACACTGGATCTCAGCAGCATCTATCGCACTGATAGATGCTCGAAAACTCATTCCACCTGGCTCTGAACATAATGAAGAGCGGAGTCAACTTAAGCGCAAACTGACAAGAAGTCTACGCAATGATCGCGAACAGTGGTGGGTAGCGAAAGCAAGAGAGATGGAAAAGGCAACGGCAATAGGTAATAGCAGACAATTGTTTAGACTCGTTAAGGAAACCGGAATTAGGAACCCGACTGTTAGCGAAACAATCGCAGAGAAAGATGGACATATTATTCATTCTCAATCCAGGAGATTGGATCGATGGGCAGAACATTTTAGGGATCAGTTCAACTGGCCTTCAGCCACACTTCGGTTTCCCACGATCTCTAGTCAACCTGAATGGCAAGTTAATGTAAGTCCTCCGTCTCTTTATGAAGTTGAAAAAGCCATAGGAAATCTGAAACGAGGGAGAGCAGCAGGCCCTGACAGGTTTACTCCTGAGATTTTTAAGGATGGTGGTCCAGTATTAGCAATGAGATTAACCGAGGTCTTAGGTAGAATTTGGGAACTGGACGTAATCCCATCTGACTGGTCTCAATCACTGATTGTACCAGTTTATAAGAAAGGACAAAAGTCCTCTTGTGACAATCACAGAGGAATCAGTTTGACTAATATAGTGTCTAAAATATTAGCTTCAATAATACTTCGACGCCTAATCAAAGCTCGTGAAGAGCAAACTAGAGAAAACCAGGCCGGTTTTCGACCTGGACGTGGTTGTATAGATCAGATATTCACACTACGTCAGGTTCTAGAACACAGACACACATTCAGACGCCCCACAATGGTAGTATTTCTCGATCTTAAGGCGGCATTCGACTCTGTTGACCGTGAGGTTCTATGGCAGTGTTTGTCACTGAAAGGAGTACCAAAGAAGTACATTAACCTTATAAAGGCTCTCTACTCGAACACATCTGGTAGAGTGAGAGCTTATGGCGAACTGTCATCAGAATTGATTACATCAAGTGGTGTTCGTCAGGGCTGTCCACTCTCCCCATTCTTGTTCAACTTTGTGGTCGACGTACTTTTAGAGATAACACTCTCCTCATCTAAATTTCCAGGGGTTGAACTTCTACCGGGAGGTTCACTTGTTGACTTAGAATATGCAGATGACATAGTTTTATTTGGTGAAGACGCTGACAAAATGCAGAGTCTTCTGACCACTCTAAGCAACAATGCAAGCATGTTCGGGATGCGATTCTCTCCCTCAAAATGCAAAATGTTGCTTCAGGATTGGGTTACATCGACACCCGAACTAGTGATAGGGAGTGAAGTAGTTGAGTGTGTCGACCGCTTCACTTATCTTGGAAGTCTCATCAGCCCTTGTGGTCTGGTGTGTGACGAAATCTCAGCACGGATACAGAAGGCTCGACTAGCTTTTGCCAACTTGCGTCATTTATGGCGTAGGCGAGATATCCGTCTACCAACCAAAGGACGTGTTTACTGCGCAGCAGTTCGTTCCGTCCTACTTTATGCCAATGAAGCATGGCCGGTAAGAGTAGAGGATATTCGTAGGTTACTAGTATTTGATCATAGGTGTCTTCGAAGTATTGCTCGTATATCCTGGGACCACCGAGTAAGTAACGCAGCTGTTAGGAAACGGGTACTAGGTAAGGATGGCAAATCGATTGATGAAGTAGTGAAACTTCATCAGTAGATATGGCTGGGACACGTGTTACGTATGCCCAACGACCGACTGCCTCGACGTGCTATATTCAGTGGTATAGGAGTAGGTTGGAAGAAAGCTAGGGGCGGCCAGACCAAAACATGGCACAAATCCATGAAGTCACTGACAAGTGGTCTGAGTCATGTTGGTAGGTGTAGACTACCTGGTTGGGGACCGCGAGATGATAGCAACCGATGGTTAGAGACCCTGAATGACATGGCTCAAAATCGATTGCAATGGCGCAGGTGCATCCACTCTCTATGTTCTCCCAAATTCTAATCTTCTGAATTCTTCATGCCCCTTTTTTTTCCTCTTTCCAAATTTATTTCACTGGATTATACTCGTTCAATAACATCTCCAAACCCTAATCCTCCCGATTACTGCTTATACTCTTGCTACCTCTACCACTACGGGATTTGAATCGACCACTGCATCTCTGTGCTAATGTGGTATGGCAACTCGAACTGATGTACGTACGTACTAAGTTCTACGTTGTTACTGACTGACTGACTGAATACATGCTCCATTACCGTTATCAGGAACCTACCATCAAACAAGTTTGTAGATCCTGCCGAAGCCATCTCAGCCCAACTAATATTAGGTGCGTTAAATTCTCCCAATATCAGGCATCTGTTATTTGCATTTCATTAATAATAATAATAATAATAATAATAATAATAATAATAATAATAATAATAATAATAATAATAATAATTTGCATTTCATGGTTGAATGTGCTCTAAAATAAAGTCATCAGCTAAGTAGGTTGGGCTGCAATAGATGACACAGAGTATAAATGTACAACACCTGATAGTGGTGGATATGAAGGATTCACTTAGAAGAGTTGGAAAACCCTGATTCCAAACCAATGGTGTACATGCGCTCCAGGATTCTAAGGGAACAAATAACGTATGAACCAATTACTGGCCACCATCTACCATGGGACTGCATCTTCTGATGTTGCTCCACTCCCTTATGGGCTTCGGGTATGGCCCCCTAAGAAAACCACCCGCTTCGGTCTGGGCACTCGGACAGTATCACAGCCCACATACAAATCAAGTGACTTGTGTGGCGCTTATGTGTTCGGTGCCCCTTTGTACCAATATTTATGTGTTCAAATAAATAAATAAATGAGTGAGCTCATAGCTAATGACTTCACAAGTTTCACTGTCATTTGATTCACACACAGAGAAGCGGATACTTATATTATTGGCTATGTATAAAAAGACGCCACCTCGTTTCTATATCTGTGTCTATCACTTTTTAGGTAGTGGTATCCGGATAATTCTGGAATAATGTTGAAGTAATGGATTAACCAAGTTTCTGTCACAGCTACAATGAGTAGTCTTAATTTGTCCTCGAATGCTTCTAGTTCATAGAATTTATTTCTTAGACTACAAGCGTTGGCATATCAAACTCCTAGGGAGATAATAAGCCCTATAATTTTGGATAGTTACTCTACATTTAATTCAACCGACACCCGTATCTAAAAATAGCTTTGTTTTAGAACATGTATAATATTTGACAGTTACGAATAGGGTGGTCTGGTATCTGATGTTCAGTTGTTTTACAGCGATAATGAAATTGATTTTTACTTGTCTGGCTACCAATTATAACCAGATGCTTTAGTCATAGAAGCAATTCGATAGTTAGGAGACACATAATTATTCGAGCTTCGTCACATTTATTAGGGTTCAGATATCTATGTCATCGCGAACTCACTACTTTTATTCCATTAATTGTGATGTTGAATATAAATTTTTGTGGATGCATATGTCCTTTTGTAAATTATAGCATCAGATAAACTATGGGTAGATCCCCATTACTCTAAGTTTTCCTCCACTTTTATTTTATAGGAAGATGCCTCTGGAAAATGGCTTTTTGAAGAAATCTGTTGTCAACAAGGAGTGATGCAGGAACGTGAATATTTCGGCCTTCGTTATCTGGAACATGAAATGCTTTCGTCTCCAACAAAGGTAAGGCAACTGATTAGATACATGTAATTTAGAAATAACTCGTCATGATCCCTTTTAAACGTAGTGTACAATAACTGCCACCTTCATTATTTGACTAAACACGCTAATTTCAATATTATCTCTGTCGAAATACAAGTTGAATACATTTCTTGTATTTTAGGTTTATCGGAGACCCATGTATTATATATCAGTACCTAAGAAGCTACATGCCAGAAGACAGTACAGTAAAGTTAATTTAGAAACTAGACACTATATACCATCTGATTTGGTGAACTATAGTGACACCACATGATCACTTCATTATGTTTATACAGTTTTCTGGAGTGAAGTGAAGGATCGAAGTGGTTCAACATATAAACACTCATAGTACTTGGCTCCAAGTCATCAATTATTAGATTTAAAAAATTAAACACTTGAACAACCGACTGGTTAAATTAGACAAAACGTATTTCCATATTAGCTATTCAAACACAACATCACAGTAGGGAGTTATTAAATAAGAAGTTTAATAGTCTGTTTTATTAAACAGCCAGTAAATTTAAGTGAGAAGCATTGTGTCATAGTGAATTTTAATATTTTAGTCTCATAATATTAATGCTTTTACGATTAATCATTAATTAGTTTCATATGTTGCTTTTATGTACATCGAACTATTTCGATACATTTTAAAAATCCAAATTTATTTACAGCGTTGGATCGACCTTACGAGAAATTTGTCATCACAACTCAAGCGTAAGTTAAATGTAATGTAACAAATAAATAATGTAATAAATCCTCCGTCTCTTTACGAAGTTGAAAAAGCAGCAGGCCCTGACAGGTTTACTCTTAAGATTTTTAAGGATGGTAGTTCAGAGTATTAGCAGTGATATCAACTGATGTCTTAGGTAGAATTTGGGAACTGGACGTAATCCCATCTGACTGGTCTCAATCACTGATTGTGCCAGTCTATAAGAAAGGACAAAAGTCCTTTTTGACTAATATAGTGTCTAAAATATTAACTTCAGTAATACTTCGATACCTAACTAAAGCTCGTGAAGAGCAGACTAGAGAATATTAGGCTGGTTTTCGACCTGAACGTGGTTGTATAGACCAGATATCCACACTACGTCAGGTTCTAGAACACAGACACACGTTCAGACGCCCCACAATCGTAATTTTTCTCGACCTTAAGGCAACATTCGACTCTGTTGATCGTGAGGTTCTATGGCAGTGTTTGTCACTGAAAGGAGTACCAAAGAAGTACATTAACCTTATAAAGGCTCTCTACTCGAACACAACTGGTAGATTGAGAGCTTATGGCGAACTGTCATCAGAATTGATTACCTCAAGTGGTGTTCGTCAGGGCTGTCCACTCTCTCCATTCTTGTTCAACTTTGTCATCGACGTACTTTTAGAGATAACACTTTCTTCGTCTAGATTTCCAGGGGTTGAACTTCTACCGGGAGGTTCACTTGTTGACTTAGAATATGCTGATGACATAGTTTTATTTGGCGAAGACGCTGACAAAATGCAGAGTTTTCTGATCACTATAAGCAACAATGCAAGCATGTTCGGGATGCGATTCTCTCCCTCGAAATGCAAAATGTTGCTTCAGGATTGAGTTGCATTGACACCCGAACTAATCATAGGGAGTGAAGTAATTGAGCGTGTCGATTGCTTCACTTATCTTGGAAGTCTCATCAGCCCTCGTGGTCTGGTGTGTGACGAAATCTCAGCACGGATACAGAAGGCTCGATTAGCTTTTACCAACTTGCTTCATTTATGGCGTAGGCGAGATATCCGTCTATCAACCAAAGGACGTTTACTGCGCAGCAGTTCGTTCCGTCCTACTTTATGCCAATGAAGCATGGCCGGTAAGAGTAGAGGATATTCGTAGGTTACTAGTATTTGATTATAGGTGTCTTCGAAATATAGTTCGTATATCCTGGGACCATCGAGTAAGTAATGCAGTTGTTAGGAAACGGGTACTAGGTAAGGATGGCAAACCAATTGATGAAATAGTGAAACTTCATCAGTAGATATGGCTGGGACACGTGTTACTTATGTCCAACGACCGGTTGCCTCGACGTGCGATGTTCAGTGGTATAGGAGTAGATTGGAAGAATGCTAGGGGCGGCCAGACCAAAACATGGCACAAGTCCATGAATTCACTGACAAGTAGGCTGAGTCATATTGGTAGGTGTAGAATACCTGGTTGGGGACCGCGAGATGATAGCACCCGATGGTCAGAGACCCTGAGTGACATAGCTCAAAATCGTTTGCAATGGTGCAGGTGCATCCACTCTTTGTGCTCTCCCAAATTCTAATCCTCTGAATTCTTCATGTCCGTCTCATTTTTCTCTCTCCAAATTTATTTCACTGGATTTTACTCTTTGAATAACATCTTCAAACCCTAATTTTTCTGACTACAGCTTATAATTTTACTACATCTAGCACTATGGGATTTGAAACGACCACTGCATCTCTGTACTAATGTGGTGTGGCAACTTGAACTGATGTACGTACGTACGAAGTTCTACGTTGTTACTGACTGACTGAATCAACAATAGGAAGTTTGTAACTGTTTACATTCTCGTAGCTTGATTTAGTAATCCTTAATATCTATTTTTTTATGTTACGTTAAAGAAAAGTGATAATAATAATGGTTGTAATTGGTTTATGTAAAGTCAGTGACACTCGACCCTTTTTGCCGAACTTGGTTTGACTCGGAAAATTGTTTGGGTGTGATTATCAAACTTCATGGGTTCAGTGAGTCTTTACTGATCTTAGAGATAACCGTAAATGATGACAATCTTCTATTGTAAACTCCTGACTAAGATTTAAATAACACAAACTGTGTTAATATAAAACTATTTTGGTCAACGTAATTTCAAGTAACTTGATTTACTTTTAGTCTGCAGCATTTGAAATCAGAATAACTTAAAGGATTGTTTTAGAACTAAGTACTTATTAATATTGTGTTTTACTTTCATTTTTACCTACTCTCTTTTTTTCCAGACACTTATCCTCGTCAAGTAAGCTTTCGTGTTAAGCATTACCCCGCTGACCCGCTTGTTGATTTGAGGTTACCTAAATCCCAGTGAGTTTACATATATATATTTCGAATGTGTTATCTCTTTTCAACAGTCTTTTATTTTTTCAAATTGAAATCTATATTACAGAGCTTATTAATTTATAAAACTCAGGACCTTCGTTAAAATGGATTTTTTAAACGAACATTTTCTGAAATTCATCCTTGGGCAGGTTGGTGTTCGTTATAGATTGCTAATCGGTTCATCAAGTTCACAGATTGTTTTACTGGTACTAAGCTTCTTTCTACTGGTAGTTTGACTGAGTTGCAATAATTTTCCGCGCAAAACCTTCAATTTAATCTCAGTAATGCATTCTGGTCACCAGGCTACGCTTCGTTTTTCTGGACTTTGTGAAGTACTACTACTATTGGTTGATTTAGAAGGTTATGGTGAACATTCATCAGAATTGGTTTCTTCAGATGGCGTTCATCAGAATTGTCCGCTTTCCCTGTCTTTTCTAAACTTTTTCACAGACATGGCTTTAGAGGCAACACTTTCATCGTCGAACTTAGTGGTTAATCGCATTCGATCATAGGTGTCTACGAAGCATTGCTCGTGTATTTTGGGACTACGGAGTAAGCGATGCCTAACTTAGGCCCTGGTACGGCCGAGAGTGGGGAGAGTCCGCGCTCCCTCTCGAAATGCTCTCACACGGCCTCGCGTATGTAGCCTCTGCCAGGGAAGTCCTACTCACTGCCTTCTCGTGGCGGGGGTGTTGTTTACGAAAATGAGAGGACGAAAAGCGAATGTCCGGCGCTTTAACCGGATCTCAAACCAATGGTGCACATGTGCTCCAATATCCTGCGGGAACAAATGGCGTATGAACCTATTGTTGGTCACTGGCTTCCATGGGACTGCATCTCCTTACGATGCTCCACTGCCTTGTGGATCAGACCTTCAGGTCGAAGGTTCGGGGTAAGGTCCCCTAAGAAAACCACCTGTTTTGGTTTGGGCACCCGGGCAGTATCACAGCCCTCACACATATCGAATGAGATTTGTGTGGCGCATATGTATTTGGTGTCTGATTGTACCAATATCTATGTGTTGAAATAAATAAATAAAATAAAGATAGGAACTCAGTTGGCGAGGTAGTAAACCATCAACTGAGGTGACTGGGATATGTTTTACGCATGCCCAACCATGTTTTCTGTCATAGGATTAGGTTGGAAGAAAGCTAGGGGCGACCAAACAAAGATGTGGCATCAGTTAGTAAAGTCATTGGTTATTGGACTGAGTCATGTTAATACGTATAGACTAACTGGTTAAGGTCCACGTAATTATTTTAACCAATGGTTAGAGACTTTGAACGACATGGTTCAAAATTTTGTAGTTTTGTTCTCTGAGTAAATAAGTGACTTGCACTGTCACAAAACGCCAGAAATGTAATTTTCTACTTATTGGGATGTCATAAAAAAACATATTTATTATTAACTTTATACCCAATGCTCAATTTGTTTGGAACTATCAAGTTTAACCTTGGGAATTATACCTATGAATTATTTTCTATGATTCGCTTTATAGAAATTGGTTATCTTTAATGATTATTTATGTCTTAAGTCCTAATTGTTTTTTTCTTGACTCAATGTAATCTATCTGTTTATTTAGAAATGATTCTTTCATTTAGCAAGAAGTTAAACCCAAGGTTTATCGAGGTAAAGCATCTCCTGTAATCGGTAATTGAAAATGTTTGAAGTGAATATCGTTTATAGTTAGATAGACTTCTGAAGGACAGTTTAGCATAATTTAGTCAAGAATAATGTTTGACTAGAAGACTGAACGTTTTTACATAAACGATTTGTCTGTAGTATATTTTTGTTAACGGTTGAGTTTGAACAATCAATAGAGTAGGAATTATTTGAATTGAATTCAAACAACATGAAAACTTAATAAAATGTTGTTTGAATTCAATTCAAATAATTCCTACTCTATTGACTGTTCAAACTCAACCGTTAACATCATCTGTAGTATATTTCACATAATGAGAGATTCATTTAAATATCATTTAGGGTTTTGAAATTCATTGTTATGTACTTGATTGAGTTGTATATTGCCTTCGTAAATTGTTAGGAATCCAGTGTATTTCCATATTTTCGTCATACTTAGCGAGGCAAGTTACTGACTGTTGTCTGTGTAAGGTTAAAAGAATTTAAAGGTTTTAGATCTACTTATCAACATTCCGACTTCTCTTCACTCATCTTTTTATTCTATATTGAGATAAGGAAATCTAATTATCTTCGTTATAACTGGGACTTTAATCATGTTTTAGGTAATAAGTTGATTTGCATGCTATAAAGGTGTATGGTTATTTCTCACGTCTTGAATCGGTAATTTTCTCTGTTGAACTATTCTATCAGCTATTTAAACTCATTCTCTATACAAATCTTTTTTTCTCATTTAGTTTATTCAGTCAGTCATCTACAATGTAGAATCAGGCATACATATACCTCAGTCCAAGTTATCATACCTGATTAGCACAACAAGATGAACACCAAATTCATAGTAGTTAATTCAATGGTAATAATATATTTAAAAAAGGTTGATATTCGGTAGTTGACTGTGATGTTAATTATTCTACTTAAAGTAGGGTTATTTGTTAGAGAGATTTTTCCTGGATAAAACATAATCTTTGGTTTCTATCCTACTCTTTCAGCTACCTCCTCTATCATCAATTGCGTCGCGATTTAATAAGTGGGAGATTAGTTGTACAGACTGATGTCCTAGTCCGACTTGCTGCACTTGTAGTTCAAGGTAAGTAGGTATTTTCTATATATTGCTCTAGTAACAAGCATTTCTTTGATGTTACTGTAATTATTAATTTACTTTTGGTTTTATAATTGCTTAATTGTAAATGTAATGTTAATCGTATTATATAATTTGTTATCAGTGGAACTTGGAGACATTTCAGCGCAGGAACCGCTTGAGACATCCGTAAAGAATGACAAACATCAATATTTACGTGAATTTCGTGTGCTGCACAATCAGACTGAACGCCTTGAATCGCTTATCATAAAAGAACATGAAAAACTGGAGTAAGTAATTATTACGTTTTTGAAATTCAATCTTTAAAAACTTCAATTCTGACTAGTTGAATACTGTCTGATCGTTTTCGTTCGTTTGCTTATGGTACTTCATCGATGGTGGTGGTTTAAGTGTTGGACTTTCAACCACTAGATAGCAGCCTCTAGTCCCTTTATATCTACTTCGGTTTGGGCAACAGGGTAGCATTATAAACCCTGACACTTACTGTGTGGTTCATACTCAAAGCATTTGGCGAATGATTTAATTACTTTTGTATTCAATTTTTTCAATTCATCCATGTCACGCATAAAATCAATCTGTTATTCCTACGTTTCTGCAATTTCATTCTACGCTTTTACACTTTCAAGTTGTCACATCTGATACATCTGTCTTCCAACCAACCAGCTTATCTTTTAATATGATAATTAATTGTTCTATTTTCGTAAAGACAGTATAATTCTACTCATACACAATAGCTATATACGTACATCATCCTGTTAATTTGGATTAGTTTTCTATTCGTGATGATTAGAAACATGCAAGTGAAAGCTATCAGTTGCTCATTGTATTTGATATTTCAAAAAAATATTCACGATTACTTATCAAAATGAGTGGTATTTTAATGCATGTTTTTGGTCGCCCAATAATTTACTATCTATCTTGCATAATTTATTGGTTTTATACACATATCTGTAGTAAATTTTTATTTTGTTTTTTCTTGAAGGAATTTTTTACCTTCTGAAGCTGCTAGTGAATTGATACACCTTGCCAGCAGTCTGGATACATATGGTATTGACCCGATTCGTGTTAAGGTATGAGTGATTCTGGGTGTTCTTTCTTAAATGTTAGTTTTTTCAAAATATATTCGTGCTGTCATTATTATCATTACAGTAGCCGGTATATATGCATATTTACCGTAGTAACAATACGTCAGTGATATTGCAGTGGCCAAATCAAGCCCATGAAGTCATCAGCAATTACATTTAACCATGTTAATTAATGAAGACTGTATGGCTAGGGCACACGGGGTTGTCGTAACCAATAGTTAGTTTCGTGGTGACATGGATCAGAATCGTTTCCAATCATGCAGGTGCATTCACACCCTTCCTTTGGAACCTGAGTCCTGAAATCTTCTTGCACCCTTTTCCTTTTATCGAAATCTAATTCATTCGACTACAAATGATACTGTCACTACTTGTGGTACCTTGATAATTTTCTTGATAATATTATCTCGCTGTGCCATTGTGGTGTGGCAACTTGGACCGATGCGCATATGCTTGAAGTTCTACGTTGCATGTGAATGACTGACTGAATGGTAGTACAGATAAATGTCATGTACCCTTACGAAATAAGTGTTTTTTTCAAGCTTACAAAAAGATATTCATACAATTTTACAGTACTAAATTGTATACTCTCGCTTCTGATAAATTTCATTGGTAACGACGTCAAAATGTTTTTTGTCAGATCAAAATACTGGGAGATTTTCTTAGTTTGTTTAAGCTAGAGTCAGAGACCTCACTTTTGAACTGTCAAGTCAATATTTCTGAAAAAAAGTATTTTTGTATTATGGCGGAACAACTGACTATTAAAATTACTAGATTTGCTTATGTAGTCGAACTAATAGTAATTCAGTAAGTATGCTACAGTGAATAACGTGTTAGTTTAAGTTATTGTAAAAAATACCACTCATAGCAAATCACTTAGTTCTAAAAAGATCATTAAACCATCAAATATTCATCATCTTAAGCACCAAATCTTCATTATACAATTTCGTGCTTATTTGAATGAGCATACAGCAACATACTGCTTACATTCATCTTCTCTGTAGAAAAGTCTAAGCGAAACGTACTCGAAAATACTAGTCTACTAATTAATGTCCGTTTATCGGTTTAGAGATACAACGTCTGTTAGATTAGGATAATTGTAGCTGGCCTAAACTCATTACTTTTGACTTTCTTTCTTGTCAACGACCTACAAAATTTGTATATGTATGGTTTTCGCGCTTTTCGAGGTACTTTGTTATTTATAGCATAAAAATAATTAATGTCAATATCATTAATTGGGAAAGTCACGATTTTTGGTATTCATAAAAATTTTATCCTTTTAACTATTTGAGTGATAGGTTCATACTGTTTAACATGAATTTTCTATTTGTCTACATGATTTTATTATATCTATTGACGTGTGCGAATTTGCCACAGGCTATATTGTGTTAGTTAACTGGAGGTGGTGGACTTAAACCCTTGACGTAGGTTTCGTGCTATTTGACACTCGTCAGCAAAGTATGTCTATTTCCTTGAGAAAATTGGTGCTCCTTGGAAGATCCGATTCTTTGCCACCAAGCATCAGAGTTTGAGACGCTACCACTGGTATTCAAGGTATATTGCCTTTTCCAAACCATAAACTCAACTCTACTTACAGTCAGCTACCGATAATGTGGACTTGTTAGGGTATGTAAGTTTCAAAACTTATTGATTGGATTTCAATCACGTTTTAGTAGCTGTCAAATGTATCTTTCGTTTCAAAAGTCAATAAACTAATCTTTAATAAGATACTTTGTGCCAACTAGGCTGAATACTGCCTAGGAAAGTTCGGGGGGAACTATAACCCTCTCCCGACTGTAGCTGTTACCCCAACATGGTGGTTGAGCTTGCCCATCATAATGACTTAACCGAGATATACTGACTTAAACACTTGCTCCTTTAGGTTCTGCCATGTCGAATAGCGGTTGAAAGACGGTATGACAAGGCAGCATTTCAAGGTCCGAGGACAAAGTCGTATTTCTGACTGTCCATGGGTTTGGGAGCAGTAAGATGTTTCCCTCGGATACCCAACATCTGCAGCGACATTAATTTTTCATGATGGAAGGAAGAGGTTAGAAAACGTTGACTGTACAACTGTGCTGACCCCACTTCACCCCACAGATTTCCGTTTCTGGCAGTAAGGCCTTTTGAACTACAGTATTAACGCTTCACAAAATTCTCACAGAAAGACTGTGTCTGACCTCTAGCAATTTTTTCTTGTGCTCGAAGGTCATGCTCAGAAGTCACTAAGACCACCATCAATCCAGTTTTCTCAAGTGCCCTTAGGAGGGATATCGTTCCATAGTGTACGCAGTCGGGAAACAAAAACCATTTTCATACCTTTAGTAGCCTGTGAGATCGCATCATTCATATTCAATCTCTATCTCTATCGCTAAATATTATTTCTACCTCAACTATCAACTTTAACCCTCTCCTGAAAAGCAAGGCGTAGCAGTGACCGGATTTACACTATGCGATAAAAACGACAGATTAAGTCGTTTACATAATAAAAAAGTGTCCTAGTTTTAAATGTTGGGTTTCAATAGGCTCCTTACAAATCCTTGTTTCATGTTGCATCTCAACCGCAGTATCAATGAGAAGAAGTGTAGTGCCAGTGAAGGAATCTATAAAGTTGATCGCTAGTTAATCAACTGCCTTTAGTTCAGTAATACGAAATCAGTCTTTGCATATGAAAAACTGAAGTAGCTTCTAATCGTGAATGTCATTAACACCGTCATGATACACTTAGAGCCCTTAATGACTGGATATACAACCTAATAGAGCAAGTCGTTTTCTGTATATACTAAATTTTCTCCAATCAAAGATCTTCAAATGCTGCTGTTTCAGGAGTATTCTTAGCGTACATTGACAATGTTGTGCAGTTTGTGCTTAAGTTTGAACACGTCCTGATCGTAACCAAAACCGTGAACAAGCAGCGGCATGCGACCGCACGACCCAGATCCAATTACGAGCTTTTTAACTGCAGCAACTTTAATATACGCTTTTGGAGCTGGAGTTACCGCTGCTACTGGTACCAGACTTGCCCTCCAATCGGTCCTCGTTAAAAGATTTAAATTGTACTCATTCAAATTAGAGCCTCAATTGAGTCCCGTATCCGTATATTTCGTCACTACCTCCCCGTGCCGGGAATGGGTAATTTTCGCGCCTGCTGCCGTCCTTGGATGTGGTAGCCATTTCTAGGGCTCCCTCTCCGGAATCAAACCCTGATTCCCCGTTACCCGTTATCATCATGGTGTTCAGTTTCGTCCTGGAACACTGGATTCGATGGTCTAGACACACTTATTGCATATTAAAAAAATGATTACTTTCGACACACCACCATGGCCCAGATTGGCATAAGCCGCTCTGGTTTTCATTATACATGAATTGATCTCACCTCTCAAGCAACCACCAGCACTTATGCAGCTGCTCAGATACACGAACTTCTCGACTACTTCTATCTGCTCACCATCTAGGGTGAGTGCAGGTTTAGAATTCTGTCAGTCTTGTAGAAGTACGTTGCACTTGGAAAGTGCAAAGCATTTACCATACCTACGGACACTTATTGATAACTGATTAAGTGCGGATTGCATGGCTTGGGTATCATTGCGCAGTAAGACAATATCATCAGCATGCTCAAAGTTGAGAAGTGTTTCTCCAAGCAACAGATCCATATCACCATTACCTACATCCATCAAAACTGTTTACAGAACGTCATCGACAGCAAAGTTGAAGAGAAATGGTGAGATTGGGTAACCCTGTCTAACCCCATTGCTTGAATGGAACAGTGGAGAGAGGTGGTTGTATGCCCTCACTCTGCTTGACGTGTTTTCATATAGGGCTTTCAAGATGTTAATAAACTTCCCAAACACACCGTTCTTCAGTAGACAATGCCAGAGTACAATCTTTTCCAACGAATTAAAGGCAACCCTTATGTCAAGAAACACTACTATTGTTGGCTTGTGAAAAGTATGACAGTGTTCTAACATTTGGCGGAGGGTGAAGATATGATCAGTATATCCTCGATCATAACGAAAACCAGTCTGATCCTCGTGAGTCAATCTTCCTCGGATTTTGAACAATTTACGGAGTATGACGGAAGTAGACCTATCTCCTGATAGTTGTTGCAGAAACGAAGTGAACCTTTTTCAAAGATAGGGACATCTATTGTCTCATTCCACGATGTTGGAACACTAATTGCCAGATCTTTGTAAACAACTCAGTCAGTCCCTTAACCAGAAAGTCACCACCATATTTGTAAAGGGCCGGAGGTAAGTAGACTTGGCCTGAGTTGGAGTTCCTTGTGGACTTCCGCCTGATTAGGTGGATCCATCGTCACAAGTTATGGAGGGCAGGGAAGTTTGATCGATGTTGTCAGAGCACCAGACCAGTTGAACTGCTCCTCGAAAAACTCTGCCTATCGTCCAAGGCGCCGGTAGATGTTATTGGTTGACCTCTCATCATCCCCACAGATTGTTTCACTCATACCAAACTTCTTACTGTCAGTGACTTGAATGAGTTAAAAGAGCTTTCGACAGTTACCAGAAGCAGCTAATGTCTTCTTATGGAGTCGCACTCCGAATCTTTGACCTAAAGGTCTAATCTACAAGGCAGTGAAGCAGCGTTAGATGATGCAGTCTCATAGTATTCGCTAACCGTTAATAGGTTCATACACCATTTGTTCCCTCGTGATCCTAGAGACTATGTCCACCATCGTTTTGGAATCAGGGTTTTCCAACTCCCCTAAGTCGACCATCTGGACCCATAAACCCGGTTATAGCACTGCACATTCGCCTTTCGTCCTCTCAATTTCATAAACAACACCGCTGCCATGAGAAGTCAGTGTGTAGGAATTTCCTGGTGGTGGCTATATACAGGTGGCCGTATAAGAGCATTTCAAAAGGGAGAGTGGACTCTCCCCAACCTCCACCGTACTGGGGCATTTGATCTTATTGATCAGTTCAATAAAAGATCCAAAAATTTTTACTCATTACTATTTTTATTCACAC